GGGACTTTGGGGGCAGTGAGAGGCCTGATTTGGAGGCTATGAGACTGGGGCACACTTGATATTGGGGCTTGCAGCCCTGAGGCAAACAGAAGTTAAGAAGAAGAAAGAGGTGAGTTGATATGTTTGTCTTCCTGGTCCACACCCTGTACTGATATGCTCAGATTTATGTGTCACAGACTTGGGGGGAGGGAAAAGGAGAGGGATATACCACATCCCTTTAAGTGTGACTTTAGTAAGAAGGTGAAACTTTGGGAGCAGAGCAGAGCACTAGCTCTGAGTTTGGGTGTTTCCCTAAGTCCTTTCAGTTTATGAATGTGGAAGAGGTGATACAGCTGGTTACCCTGCTGAGTCCTTGCTTCCATGAAAGCTAAAGTATCATCCCTCCCCACCCCACTCCAGGAAGAGGGGATAGAAAGGTGGAATCCATGGGATGGGGAGGTCCTATCCCTTTTATATCTAAGGTCTTCTTTTATCCCCCTGCATTCCTGTCCTTTATCTGGCTTATTTCCCTCTTTCCTTCTTGTGATGGGGGGGAGGGGATGCTGGTGGGAAGGTGAAAAACCGGTGGGCCAATGGGGTGGGGGAGGAGTGATCTGGGCAGGAAGGTCCTAGGGTGATTTGATTAGCACCTCCCTATTTGCTGGGACCTGCTTCACTAAGATTCTTTAGGATGGCCTGGGGCCTTGGGGACATTAACATTTCAATCTCCCTGGTGTAGTTCTGACCCCACGGGCTCAGATTGCACTCCATTTTCTTTATGGGCTCCATTTTCTTTATCAGACTCATATCATACCCTAGCTACCTAGCTACACTAACTACCTATCTTTAAATCTGGCTTCAGAGGCATCTGGGGGCAGGAATGTGCCTCTCCTCTTACGCACTTCTTTGTCCAGTAGATCTTCAGGACACAGCCTCCTTAACTCTGTAAGTGGCTTGAGGGTTGGGTAAGGGGAGGGATGACCTGAAGGTGGGGCAGCTCTTCAGATGCCATTAGCTCCTGAGCCTGGGACTCAAGTGCAGCTGCCAGCTTCTCCTACCACTTCCCCTGCCTCCTTACAGAAAGTTCAAATTTAACCCGAAGCTGGGCATTGACAATCCTGTTCTCTCCCTGGCGGAAGACCATGACTGCTCTGGTAACTCCCTCACCCCTTGGCAACCATTGCCTTTCCCTGGAGATACCGCAGCTCCATGCAGCCTCCCATCTCCTTGGTAACCACTCTGCCTCCTTCTAATATCAGTAACTATGTGGAGGTAGGAGGGGGTCAGTGCTTCCTCTGTCTCAGCCACTGTGCCCACTTGGTGTTCAGCCACAGTGCTGCACCTCTCTCTGGGTAGACACCTGCCCAGTGCCCTGGCAGGAGGCGGGGCTGTCAGGTCAATCAGGCAACTGATGTGCACTTGGGCTGTGCTCCCCTTCCCTTGTCTCTTTTCTGCTGTCCATCTCCGCCTCCAGATCCATGGAACCTGAAGAGGCCTCGCTTCTGTTTGCTGAGCAAAGAGGAGGGCAGGAGTTTTGGTTTCCACCTGCAGCAGCAGTTGGGCAGGCCTGGGCATGTGGTGTGCAGGGTGGAGCCGGGCTCTTCTGCCCAGCGCCAGGGTCTCCGGGAAGGAGACCTGATCTTGGCGGTGAACAGTGATGTCGTGGAACATGAGGACCATGTGGTGGTGAGGCTGGGCTGGGACTCCCAGTGGTACGGGAGAGCATTCCACAGCATCTCAGGGGGAAAAGCCAGTGAGCCTCCTCCCTGGGCACTATAGCAACAGGGCCATAAATCTCCCTACACCCTAGGATTTAGGGGTGCCCATGTAGGAAGGGTGGATGCATCTAGAGAGCTGGTTCCCCTGGTGAATAACACAGGTCCCCAGGAGGCCCGGGGAGTTGGCAAGAGGAGCCATCACCCTTACCCTGATGTGCTCTCTATTTAGGTGGTGCGCCACATCCGGGCCAGTGGTCCCCGGGTTCTGCTGACAGTCTTGGCGAGGCATGTTTATGAAGTGGCCCGAGTTCAGCAAGGGAACAGTGGCAACCTCTGTCCTGTTCTAGACTCAGGGGTCCGGCCCCGGCTGTGCCACATAGTAAAAGATGAAGGTGGCTTTGGCTTCAGTGTCACCCATGGTGAGCTTAGAGTCTGGAGACGGGGGAGGTGGGGTAATCAGTCCTTGTTCTGGGTAAGTAGCAGTCTGGAGCTTGTGGTGGTTTTTTGTTTTTGTTTTTTCTTCCAGGAGCTCAGGGTCCTTTCTGGTTGATGCTAAGTGTGGGAGGAGCGGCGGAGCGGGCAGGGGTGCCCCATGGGGCTCGGCTGCTTGAGGTGAATGGGCTCAGTGTGGAGAAGTTTACTCACAGCCAACTCAACAGGAAGGTATGGCTGCCCACTTCCCTCTCTCCCCAGTCATTGGCTGGGTCCATCACAGGAAGCAGGCTCCTCCCCATGTACCCAACCTCCCAATCTGATGGTCTGCATTTGTTACCATCCCTCCTTTCAGGCCCTCCTTTTAGTGCCTCATTCCTGTGCCTTGGGAGGGGGTACCGTGAGGAGGTGCCCACCTCATCCCTCCCTACCCAATGGGTAATGCCGACACCCTGCTTGGTCCCCACAGCTTTTGCAGAGTGGAGAGCAGGTGACCCTGCTGGTGGCAGGGCCAGAAGTGGAGGAACAGTGTCGCCAGCTAGGAATGCCCCTAGCTGCACCCCTGGCAGAGGGCTGGGCAGTGCCTGCCAAGCCTCGATGTCTGCACCTAGAGAAAGGGCCCCAGGGCTTCGGGTTCCTTCTGCGGGAGGAGAAGGGCCTCAATGGTCGCCTTGGTGAGTAGGAGCTTGCAGGTGGATGGGGAAGGTGTGCCTTGGAGTGTGCACTTGCTCACTTCTCAGTGCACCTGGGAGGGGCTGAGGGTTAGCCCTGGGTGTGCACACTGGAGGTGAGGGGAAGAGGAACAGTGAGGATGTCTGTGTCCCAGGACAGTTCCTGTGGGAGGTGGACCCAGGACTACCAGCTGAGAAGGCCGGGATGCAGGCTGGGGACCGGTTGGTGGCTGTGGCTGGGGAGAGCGTGGAGGGGCTGGGCCATGAGGAGACAGTGTCCAGGATCCGGGCGCAGGGTTCTTGTGTTTCCCTCATTGTCGTCGACCGTGAGGCTGACCGCTTCTTCAGCATGGTGCGCGCTGAGGGACGGGGCAAGGGAGGGGGCAGGAATAGAACAGGGCTCGGGTGAGACAGGTTTGCTCTGTCGGCTGGTCTAGGTTCGCCTGTCCCCACTCCTCTTCTTGGAGTGCACAGAAGCTGCTGCCTCCTCCGAAGACACTGGCTCAGCTTTTCTGGTTGAGACCGAGGACCTACCAGATGAAGGCACAACCATACCTCCTGGTCCTCTCGGCTCCTGCAAGCGCTTCCTGTACCCTGGGCCTGGTGGCGGCTATGGTTTCCGACTCAGCTGTGTGGCCAGTCGGCCTTGTCTTTTTGTCTCCCAGGTGACTGATGCCCCCATGGATCCTGGATCCTTTCTATTATTTACCTCCTGATCAGCCTTCCTCTGTCTCCCTCCCAGAGTCCTAGAACACATAGTAAACATATCCATGGTGTTCTGTGTTCCATCTGTCCTTTATACCACCAGGTGACCCCAGGAGGTTCAGCTGCCCGGGCAGGGCTGCAAATGGGAGATGTGGTTCTGGAGGTGAACGGGTATCCTGTGGATGGAAATGATGGCTTGCAAAAGCTTCAGCAGCTGGCCGAGGCCAAGCCACCCCTCTGCCTAAAGCTGGCAGCCAGGTCTCAACAGAGCTTGGAAGCCTGGATTCCCCCAGGGATTAGAAAGGTAAGGAAAGGAGACATATGGAGGTGTGAACAGCCAGAGAAGGGCAGAGAGGAGCCAGAGAGAAACATAGATTGGGAGGACTACTAGGTGACAGTGTGGGGTGTACAGGTGGGGCTTCAGGTCATGGGAGGTGAGGACAGAAGAATCCATGAAAAAAGTCCCATAACTGGGCATTCCAGGGCAGGTTGGGGGGAGGGTAAAGGAACTCTTCTAGCCTTAGAATGACCTTCTCCCTCTTCTATCGCTATAGGACTGGACTCTGGCCTCAGATCTGCTATAGGACACCCCTGCTTGCCGTAGTTCTGCCAAGTGGTTCTCCTGACTTCTCTCTGCAGCCTGAAGTGGTGGGAGCAGAGATGGTTTCTCTAATCCAGAAGTGGGAACTAGAGGTTTAGGACACCATCGATCATAGGAATGGCCAGGGACTCCCTCCCTTCCCATGGCATACCTCCCAGGAAAGGGTGTGGTCAGAGACCTCAGGGAGGGCCCTGAAGGAGCCTAGACTTCAGAGGATGCCACGTGGGAGCTTTGCAGAGATGTGTCCCAAGGATGAAGTTCTGCCTGAGAAGGGGATGCTGTCGGGCTAGTTGTGGGGATGGATTGAAGTCATCTGGAACTTGCCTTAGTATGACTCCAGTGTAATACGGTACAAGAATTTGGAGAACAGCTATACCCTCCCTCCATGGATGCCTTAGACTGTGGGGGCTGGTATCTGGTAACTGTTGGGTTTTATTATAGAAATGTACTTTCTCTATGAATCTGACTGCCTGTGTTTGTGTAGATGGGGACAAAAGGATTTAAAGGGACCACAAGGGCCCTAGACCCTATCCCTGAACAGTCTCCAAAGGTACTAAAGAGGTCATCTTGACTGGGATTATTCCAGACTCCCCAGTTTCATTAAATGGCGAAACCCAGGTTCTGTAGGAGAGGGATTGAGACCTTGTCAAATTTCTCTCCTACCTCTTAGTCTTTTTTTTTAATATTTATTTTTTAGTTGTATACAATACCTTTATTTTGTTTATTTATTTTTTTGTAGTGCAGAGGATTCAACCCAGGGCCTTGCACATGCTAGGTGAGCGCTCTGCCGCTGAGCCACAACCCCAGCCCACCTCTTAGTCTTCAGGATGTAGAGACGTTCCCAGAGGATGGGGATCACTCCTCTCTGCCAAAGACCACAGCCCACAGCTCTGCTGGGTTCAACATTAAAACACTTTATTACTGGGCCTCAGAGAGTAGAGGCTGGCAGCCTCAAAGATCCAGAGGGTTGAGGCCAAATTGACGCAGCTGCTCCTTGTGCTTGGCATGGAGTCTCAGCACGGCCCCATCCCAGTGAGGCTTAACAGCTCTCAGTTTGGCCAAGAGCTGGTCCAGGCTGCCCTGCAGACACCAAGCTTTCAGCTCCCAAGAAGAGAGAATGGAGATAAGGGTTGCCCCAGGTTGGTTTGTAAGCTTTCCTTGCTTGCAGGAATTTCTTACTCTGCGCTGGTAGGCACAGCTGTATCCACTCTGTCCAACTTGAGGATAGAGCAGTGTTCCTTGGGGACACTTCTCCTTTCCCTTGGGTTATTAGTCATCACACTAGCTGTGGGCTGTGGGGATGGAGGAGTGCTGGGGTACTAGAGCAGCTGGGCTCTGGAGGGAAGTGCTTACATGTAAGATTTCCTGGTACTTGGCCTCCATGTCCACCACCTGGGCCCTAAGCTGAGTCAGGGTCTGGTCCCGCTCTCTGAGGGCTTGCTCAGCCTCTTCCCTTTCAGCCTTAGCCTCCTTCTGGCACATTTCTGTGGAACAGAAGGGAAGGATGAGAGGACAGAATGGTGGCACTCTATCCTGAACAGTCTCCAAAGGTACTAAAGAGGTCGCCTTGAGTGGGATTATTCCAGACTCCCCCAGGTTCATCACATTTCCTACAGTCCCAGTAAAGAGCTGAAGATCCATCGAGGTATGATAGAGTGCAGAGGGCTTGATACAGGAGATGGGTCCAAAGTCTGGTCATTACTTACTCTTTGTATATTGTCAAATATGTCTCTTACTGAGTCTCAGTTTTTTAATCTTTCAAACCTCATGTATGGTGTGACCCTTAAATGTGAAATGGAAGGCAAAGTGCCTGGTATATAAGAGGTGTTCTATAAATGTTGGTTGAATTTGAAATTGAAATAAGGCAAATATTGGGGAAGGAACCTAGGGACTACATGACAAATAAATAGCTCTTGGATATCTATAGCTAAACTGAAAATGAAAATATTTTAAGATTATAAAAAAAAAAACAACAACTTTGAGGGCTGAGTTGTGGCTCAGTGGTAGAGCGCTTGCCTAGCACATGTGAGGCACTGGATTCGATTCTCAGTACCAAATAAATAAAGATATTGTGTCCATCTACAACTAAACAAATAAACAAACAAGCAAACAACATTGAGGGTGGGGATGTAGCTAAGGGGTAGAGTGCTTTCCTGGCATGCATGGGCCCTAGATTCCATCCCCAGCAACATACACACACACATACACACACACACACACACAGGAAAAAAGAAACGAAAGAAAACTTTGAGGTTAAAATTATGAAAGAACTCATGTGCTATGCTGAGATATTTCAACTTTGTCCTGTAAGCAAGAGGAAAGGAAAGCAAAGGCTTCCTGTTTTTTTTTTTTTTGCTTATTTGGAAAGCTTATTCATTTATTTAGTAAGTGGTTTTTTAGGGCCTATCAGGTGCTAGGCCTTGAAGATACAGAAGTAAATGACTAATATTTTCCTTAGTTTCATTACAAAAGTTAGCTTAATTTAGGGAATATATTTTGCTCAGTAGAGACGTAGAGACAAGGCAGTGGAGAAGAATAAACATTGAATTTGGAGACACTAAGCAAAGGGGGAAGTTAGGTATGAGACCTTCTCTCTGTTGGTGTTTCTTTATTCCTCTCTCTCTTCCTTCCTCTCTTTCCTCCCTTCCTCCTTCCTTCTCCCTCCCTCTCTCTTTCTTTTGATTGAACTCAATGCCTCACACATGCTAGACAAGCATTTTACCACTGAACTACATCCTGAGCCTGAAACCTACCTTTTCTTTACTTACATCTGTTTTTTTATTGTTTGTTTGTTTAGTACTAGCGACTGAGCCCAGAGGCCCTTTCTCACTGAGCTCCATCCCCAGTACTTTTTATTTTTATTTTGAGACGGGGTTTCACTAAGTTGCTGAGGCCTTGTATTTGTGATCCTCCTGTCTCAGCCTCTAGAGAAGCTGGGATTACAGCCATGTGCCATCACTGGGGCTTCTTTACTTACATCTTAGAATTTCTTGTCATCCTGAATCCTCTGCTCAGAGAACAGTCCAGAGAAAGGCATCTAAATTCAAATTCAACCAACAGACTGCAGCTTTCTAAGGAAGGACCCTCTAAGACCATCCTTTCATCTGGACCTAGTTAATGACCCTTGGAGAAAAAGACCTGGATGGAACCTACCTAGCTGCTCCCGAAGACCCCTTACTTCCTCTTCCAGCTGATGGCTGCGGGTTTCCAACTTCTCCTTCAGGGCCTGGTGCTGGCGGCTCATCTCTGAAGCAGGGGTAGTGGGTGGCCAGGAAGCCATGTAGGCATGGAGACATGGAGAAAGGAAAGTTGTAGATGGAGAAGACTTTACTTAGTCCAGAGAGGCCGGAGCATAAGGACCTTCTTAATTTTTCTTGTGATAATGCTGAGAAGGTGGAAAACCCTGAAAATCTGGGGAAGGGATAGAAAACCAGACCCTTGCCTGATGCTGAAGTGCAAGCCTGTAATTCTAGCTACTCAGGAGGCTGAGGCAGGAGGATCACAAGTTAGAGACCAGCATGGGCAACTTAGTGTGACCCTGCCTCAAAAATTGAAAGAACTAGGAATGTGGTTCAGATTTTTAAAAAGAAAGAAAAGGAGAAGAAAAAACAGAAAACCAAACTGCCTTCTCCCATACAGTTTGGGATGAGGAACCTAGCCTTTCTTTCCACTTATTCTCATTGGATAAATGAGATAATGGCTATGACTGCATTTTGTACCCCCACAAAGCAACACATGGCATCAGGGATTCTGGAAGGTGCATGTGTGGGATGCCAGGGATCTTCCTTGGATTCCTTGCTTCCTTGGGGCCCTTTGGTTGTCCTCTTTTAGGGCACTGTCTTCTGCCCACCTGCTCACCCCGTCACATACCTGCATATATAGCCTTCTCTTCACTTCGGGCCTCTTTGAGTTCTGCCTCTAACCCTTGCAACTTCTGCTTCAGCAGCTCTTCGGAAGCCTTGGCTCTACGGGACTCATCCCTCCGCAGAGCTGTGAACAGCAGCAGAGCTGCCTTTAGGATTGGCTGTGACACAACCAGTCCCCATGGGCTGGATAAGCTCTTCCCACCCCTGAAGAGCTGGTGGCAGGGCGTCCAGCCCTTTGCTCTGTTTGTTCCTCTAGAATCTCACAGCCTCTTCATTACTACGAAAGAAAAACTCCTTCTATATTCTGGCCATGGAAAATAGCTTCCCTGGTATGTTGGCATAGCTCAGTGGTAGAGCCCTTGCCTAGCACGTATGAGGCCCTGGGTTTGATCCCAGCCAGGGAATTTGGGAAGAAGCATCCCTCATCAACCCTCACTGCCTACTGCCCACCCCCCCCCGCCACCCATAGTCCTTTTCCATTAGGGGCCAGTTAGAATTTGGCTTAGCCCTGTGCTTATCCCTTCAATCCCCCAAGGACCCAGAAATGCCACTTATGCTGTCCCCAGAGCCTTCACCCTTCTCACCCAAGTGGTTCAGGAGCAGCTCCTTCTCCAGCACCATCAGCCTGTGCTTGGCCTCGGCCTCCACATCTGCCCTGGCAAGTTGGCAGAGCCTTAGCTTATCATAACCTCAGTCCCACCCCCACCTTACCCCACCTCTGGACTTTCCTTCATGAGATCAGAGGACCACCCAATGAAGGGTGCCTCCCTGATAGGACATGTAGAAGCAGGGGTCCCACCTGTACCCACTGTGACTTACCAACACTCAAGTTCTTTTTCTTCTTCTGTGTCCCAGATTTCCTACCTTTTTCTTTGGTCTTAGGTGGCATGTCCTGGCTGTCCTGAGGGAGGGGGGACTTTATAGTTCTAGACATAGGAATGCTTTCCTAACCCCTAGACTTAACCAGGAGACTTGAGTGATTTAGAATTCTAGTTTTCAAGTCTGTCTCACACTTGTTGGAAGCTTTACTTCTTGGTTTCCTGGGAACCTTAGGCAGGGCTGGAGTAGGAAGGGCTGCTCTATATACAGAAGTCATTCCTCCCAACCCTCTGTTAGGGAAAAAAAATCTCTGAACCAGTTTGCTCCCTTTTCCCTCCATCCTCACCCTACCTTTTCCTACCTATAGGATGTTTTCTTGCCTTTGTGGTCTCTCCTTGTGGAGTGACCCACTCACAGGGAAGGGCAGAGAGAGGCCCAGATAGAGCCTGAGGAGGAGCCTGTGTCCTGGAAACCAATCCAGGCTGGCAAACTTCCTTCAGGGGCAGGACAGAGAACCAGAAGGTTGGGTTTCTGGAGGCTACATGTTGTCCAGGCAACTGGAAAACACGGAATTCAAAGGAAGGTGTAATGGGCTGTCAGCTCACAAAGCTAAAAATACAAAGACCCTTGAGGGTCACTTCTACCCTTCTCCCAAAATCTTAAATATATTTTGAAGTGAAAGGGCTTTGGAGCTGATTAGCTAACATGTACTTCCAGGTGGGTGCTGCCTGCAATTTGGAGAGTAAGGAATTATAGATGTACATAGTGTTGTGCTGATATAGAAGAAGACTGACATGGCCATCCTGGCAGTTTTCATCTCAAGATCCCACTGGCAAAAGGACATTAAACTTACAACTGAATATTCCCCTTCAGAAAGGCATTTTACAGTGTCTGAGGGAAATAATGCAGAAGCAGGGAGTTAAGAGAGTTTTCCACTTTAGAGAAGTGAGAACGGAGGAGAGGTGGATCCATGGACTCCAGGATATTGACCCAGAGGGATGCAAATGTCAAGGAAAGGGCACTGGTTAGAGACAGGAGACATGAGTCCTAGTCCCCTCAATGGATGTATAAACTTGGGCAAGCCACTTAAATTTTCTCAGACTCTTTAAACATTTGATTTTGAAACTCCTGAAAGTCCTGGATTTTTGCTGGGTATTTACAAGACCATTTTCTCTCACAGTACTTAATCTATGTCGGCATTTCCCCTATTCCTATATATAGATGATTTGCAGACAGCTGTTGAGAAACTACCTCTAGAGGTTCCCTGCCACAGAGAGTTGGTTGGCGCTCCCTCTAGTGGACACACTTGGCCTCCTGCATCTCCTCCATTTTTGCTTTATATTTATAGGACAGCGTTCTGGTGACTCCCTTTTGGGGATGCTTCCTAGAATCCTGCCAGAGTCACAAGTGGTTGGAAAGATAAATTTGGGGCAGAGAGTATGAAGGGTGGCTTGCTCTTGGCAGGTGGCCCCCACCCTCCCCCCAGCCCCCGGGGGTGTCTGGAGCCATGACATCTGTCAGTCACTTGGATCTCTGGGCCATATAGTAGGAATTTCAGAGCTTTTCTCCTTGTGGATTAAGGGACCTGCAGACTCTTTTTATAGGTACTTCTCTCTATCCCTGTTCCCCTAAACCTTTTTGGTCAATTGCCTATTGTCAGAAGTAGATCTTCAGAAATGAACATGAGATCTGGAAATGAAGTCTTGTCTCTGAGGAGCAGGCAGATGCCAATGCATATTTATTTGACCCTTTGTGGCTGCAGGGTACTTCTCTGACCTTCTGGACATTTTATAGAGCAAAGGGAAGAGCCAGGTGTGTCTTTCCAGTGCTTACAGCTCCTGTAACTCAGGGCCAATTAACCTTGTACACATTTCCCAAATTTGGAGAATACTTTTATTTTGAATTTGCAGCATTTCTTCATTTACTCTCCCTCCAGAATCCCCTCCCTCTGTCCTGATATAGTGGGTGTTCTCAGTGTTTCTTCCTAGGAGCCTGTCTGGGGACTTCTTCCACAGAATGATTATGTCTTTGTTTATGCTGATGCATAGAACGACATATTGAGGGTAAAAATTACAGAATATAAGCAACATATATGCCTCAGAAGAGCATTTACTTTACAAATATATTTACTCAAATAACTTTCAGGTGCAGAATGAGGATGTGGTTTGGGATGAAGGTGAAGTGGAAAGAAAAATGCCACATGTCACGTGATGTGATACAAGATGAAACAGCTCTAGAAAAACCCAGAATGTAAATGACATTATGATCAGCAATACAACCCTATCTCTAGTACATTTTCAAAAACAAGCAAAATACAGTAAAAACAAAACAAAACAAACAAATAAAAAAACCCAACTATAATGCACCAACAAAAGAAAAAAGTCAAATAAAAATTGTGAGATAAAGGTCGATTTGTCTTTTTGCATTAAGTTTAATTTAGAGGGCTGGGGCTGTAGCTCAGTGGCAGAATGCTTGCCTAACATGCATGAGGCACTGGGTTCGATCCTCAGCACTACATACAAATAAATAAAATAAAGGCATTCTGTCCATCTACAAATTTTTTTTAAAAATTTAATTTAGGGCTGGGGTTGTGGCTCAGAGATAGATCACTCACCTAGCACGTGCGAAGCCCTGGGTTTGATCCTCAGCACCACATTAAAAATATATATATATTGTGTCCATCTACAACTAAAAAATAAAATATTATTATTTTTTTTAATTTAGAAGCAAAAATAGGAAAGATTATTCCAGCAGAAGTATCTTCCTTTGAATAAAATCCCACACACCTGTGGAAAGAAGGCTCATCCTTTCTCCTTTATTCAAACGTGAAAGATAGGCCATTTGTATATTAAAAGAAACAGGGCCTGCTACAGCAGATACCAAATGCACATTATTTAATTTTCTGTTATGCAGACCTCACTGAAGAGAATACAAATTGGATACCTTAAACCAAGCCAGAGAGGTGTACTGTATACCTAGACATGCACCTTCACAGCTCCATGGGTTAACATTTTACCTGTACTCCTTTAAATCAAGGATTTAACTATGAAAAATACCCTGATAAATCTACCCTGTGTTAGGTACTGTGAAAGATCCAAAGTTGACAAGATAATATAGCATAAATTAACATGTGGTATAAGAAATAAATGACTATGGGGCTGGGGTTGTGGCTCAGTGGTAGAACGTTCACCTAGCACGTGCAAGGTGTTGGGTTTGATCCTCAGCACCACATAAAAATAAATAAAATAAAGGTATTGTGTCCAACTACAACTAAAAAAAAATTAAAATAAACAAAGTTTTTTAAAGAAGGAATAAATGACTAGGGAAATTTATAAGAGTGAAGGATTATTTCTAGCAGGAGGACAATATTTGAGCTGAGTTTTGAAGAATGAATTGGATTTTAGAAGCACACTTCAGGCAGAGGAAAAGCTCTGAGTAATGGTGATGAAAAAAGAAAGAATTGTGGTATTTTGTGACTTGATGAGTCACCCAGCATAAGATATTTGTATCAGGGAATAATACAAAACTGCAAGGTAGTTTGTTTGTTTATTTATTTATTTTGTCATTCTGGGGATTGAACCAGGGCACTCTCACACTGAGCTATATTCCTAGCCCTTTTTATTTTTTATTATTGAGACAAGGTCTTGCTAATTTTTGAGACTGGCCTTGAACTTATCCTCCTGCCTCAGCCTCCCCAGAAGCTGGAATTACAGGTATTGCCACTGTGCTCAGTGCCAAAAACTGTGGTTTACTTATTTTAATTTTTTTTTTTCAGTACTGGGGACCAAATATAGGGCCTCACCCTGGTAGGCAAGTACTCTATTATTAAGTTACATTTCCAGCTTTGCAAAGGAGTTTGGTTTTGGGTTAGAACATGGCTGTTAGTTTTATTCCAGAGGCAATGGAGAGTGTTTAGTTTTTGTTGTTGTGGGGGTGTGATGCTGTCTTAACTAATGGAAGCATATGGTGGCAGGATGGAATTAAGGCAGCAAGGAAACCAGTGAGAAAAATTTCAGTATCCCAGGGAAAAGAAAAGGAGGGCCTGCAGTGAAGGTAGTGGCTCTAGGGGTGGAAAGTTTTGACATTTAGGAGTTTGCCTAGATTCTCCTTTTTTTTTTTTTTTTTGAGAACTGATAAAAGGTAGGAACTGATAAAAGACATTCTATTGGTAGGAAATGATAATGTAGGCTTCTAAATCAGTCTTAGAGAAAAGCAATTGACTTGCAAACTCAGGATGACTGGCTGAATGATCCTTTAGTTCAAAGATATTTTGCTCTCTTGAAGAAGTACTTGATGAACTTAATTTCCAAATCAGCCAAGGGCTTTGTGGAAGAGCTAGGAGGAAGATACAAAGCAGACCTAAATACTTATTTACACACCTGGGCCTGCAAACTCACAAAGCTGAAGCTAAGAATTAACAAATTAGGGCAGGGCACTTCCTTCTTTGGAAAGGAAGTTCCTATTTTTGTTCTTCCAACGGAATTTTTAGATTAGAGAAGTGGGAGTGATTGGGAACTACATTTCTATTCCCTAGACCGAGTGAGAGCCGCTCTGGCCACCACTTGCAGAGGTCTCACGATTTGTGGGCGGTGTCTCGTGCTAACGGTGCAGACGAGCAAGGGGTGCAATGAGCTGAGCAGAAGATTCTTAAGTACATATTCAATTCCCAGAAAAGGGCAACTTCCCAGAAGCAGAAAGGGAAGTGCTTTGTTTTAAGAGGTCAAAAGCATGGAAGAAGTGCTCATGGCCTGAGGGTTCCCAGCTTTTGAGCCTTTCTGGGGCCTAATCAGGTTGGAACAATCTTCAACGTTCTTTTTTCTGTACTCAGTCGCGTCCTAATGAAGAATCTAAAATGCCAGAGAATGGAGACATACGTTTCTTTTTTCTTCCATTTCCCACAATATGAAGCAAATAACTATAAGTTCAATTTCCACATTTGTCAGGCGTGAGGAAAGGACTTGTAAAGATTCTTTCCACTATGAATTGCTACCTGTCAATGACCCTCTCCTAAAGCACCAACCTCCAGCCAGCCCACAAAGAACATGGAGGTCTCGGCTTCCGCTTAGTGCGCAGGCTTCACATTGGATCCCACCCGCTTCCTTTTCGCGCGTCTCCAGCAGAGGGCGCAAGCACTGAGGTTTTGCTGGCCCCGCCCCCTTCCAGACCTCGGGGATAGGGGCGAGGGAGGCGGGCGCGGAAACTTGGTGGCTGCTTTCCCGGAGCTGTGGGCACGTGGGCGCTGGCGAGGGGGTGGGGCGGGAGGTGGGGGTCTCTCCCGGGTTCGGACGCTGCCGCCTGCTTTCCCCAGCTCTGGGATCAGCCGTCAGTCCCTGGCGCGCGCCCCCGCGCTCCGCCCGCCGGGCTCGTGCTCGCTTAAAGGGGCGCGCCCTGCACCCCCCACTGCCGGCACCGCCCACTCCCCTCCCCGGGGCCGCTCCTCCCACCGCTCCGAGAGCCGGCGGCTGCTGCGGCCGCGAGAGGCCCCTCCTTCACGCCCTCCTTTCCCTCGCTCGCTGCCGAGCGGAGCCGGCCGTCCGGCTGGGCCCCCGACTCTCCCCGGCCATGGCCGGTAACGTGAAAAAGAGCTCTGGCGCCGGGGGCGGTGGCGGCTCCGGAGGCTCGGGCTCGGGCGGCCTGATCGGGCTCATGAAGGACGCCTTCCAGCCGCACCACCACCACCACCACCTCAGCCCCCACCCGCCGGGGACTGTGGACAAGAAGATGGTGGAGAAGTGCTGGAAGCTCATGGACAAGGTGAAGGGCCTGCCGAGGACCCGCGGGAGCAGGGTGGGCGTGGGCGGAGGGCCTCGCCAGCGCTGGGATCGGCGGAGGAAGCTGGGGGAGGGTCTGGAGGCCAGGAGCTGGGGTGACCCGCCGGCCGAGGGGGGCTGGGGGCCGGGAGCCGGGGCAGGGGAGGAGGCCGGATGGTGGGTCGGTTTGGGGGAAGGGCTGCTGTTGGGAGTTGGGGACATTGAGGTGTTCGGGGAGCGAGACAAAGATGGGGTGGGGGCTGGGGTGAGGGTTGACTGGGAAGCCACCGGGGCGGAAGTGCAGTGGGGTTTGGGGCTCGGTGCGGGGTGTGGGGATGTGGGTCACGGAATTGGCCCTGGGAGACCGTCGTGAGGGGGTTAAGGAAGCGTTTGATTTACCGGCTGGTTCTCCTGGCTGGATGAGAAGTCGACATCTGACTAGGGAATTGGGTTTATGGGCTCTCATTGAGGGACCTGGGGGCAGGACAACTCCACAGGCTAACTGTATTCTGGGTGAGCGTAAGGTTTTTTTCTCTTTAGGATGTAATACCAGGATAAAAGAAAGAGGGAGGTTTAAATGGGGGCAAGGAAGGAACTTTCCTCCACATCTAGCACTAGCTCAAGTTTTTTGACCCTTCGAAGCATTGGGATGTGATCCATTGCCGGTTTTGAGATAATGCACTGATTAAACCACAAGTTCTGGTTAGAACCATTATCTTCTGGAAGGTGGAATGACCGAATATGCCAAGCAGCAGATTTTGACTTTTTCATAACTTCCTCCCTCCACTCACCGCTTTTAGCTTGGCTCTACATTTTCTTGTAAGGGCCTAGCTCCTTATTATTGCAGGACCTGACTTGAGTTTGTTCCATGAGTCTTTTTGATTACTTTTTTTGAAGCAAGGCAAAAAAAAAAAAATTAAAGACGTTATATTTAGTCATTTAAGTATGTCATGTGGGAGAATTTTACTTCCTTATAGTTGTGTCTATATAATTAAACATATTAAGTAACAGTCCCTTATACTTAAAAAGTGTATAAGCAGTCTAATGTTCTGTTAGAATTAAATATATCTTGATATTTATCATTCATTAATAACATTTTGGCAAAACTTATACTTCAGATTAAAAGTGGATAGGAGGATCTGGCATGCAAGAGACTGCTGTTATTTCCTCCAGGGTAAAATTGGTTTTCTTTGGTTCCTCTCCGGACCTAGGTTCCTCTTCTGTAAGTTTTTCATAGGTTGTTTGGACTAAAAACAGCTAATAAAATGATTATGAAGTACTTGGCAAATGTAAATGTGCTATATAATGCTTAACAAGTCCTGTGTGAGAATTAACACTCCTATAGTGTATACCAGTGATTTCAGAGCCACTTTTTTTTTTTTTTTTAAGTTGTTGATAGACCTTTATTTTATTTATTTATATGTGGTGCTGAGAATCTAATCCAGTGCCTCACACATGCCAGGCAGAGGGGTGATTTTTCTCATGGTTAAATAATTGGTATTGCAAGAGGCTCTGGGTTCCATCTGCAGCACCATAGATGGACAGACAAATTCGTATTGTAATTAATGACACAAATATTTGTTGATTATATCGGTGGTGTAGTGCTAATTTTATTATTAGAAATTATAATAAAAAAGGAAACTTTAAATATGTTGACATCTTTTAAAAAATATTGTATTCAAAATTTGAAGTTTCTTAAGCTTGCGTTTTGGGGATTTACTATTAAGGACTAAAAGATTCCTCTGACAGAAAAATTATTTGCTTTTCTAATCAGTTTCTCATATAGGCCCAGTTGGTGAAGTGTATCAAAATTATGCCAATTTGTGACTTCTTAGAAATAATGAACTTTTAATCAAACTTTTGTGTTTTGGTAAATAAAGGATAAATGATGGTCCAAATAAAGTCTTCCCTATGTCTTATTGCTTCATCTCTTTGAAGTGTATTTAATTGAGTTCTCCTGCAGGTTGTTTAATTGTTTGGATGGAATAAAGAGGACTCAAAAGTTTTTGAGTTAAAATGCTTTTAGGTATAGGTAGTTTAAAGGACAGTATCCTTTTAGCTTTTCCATTTTAGTCTAGGAAAGGGATATTTATTCTTACACTCTGCTTGTCTTGGAAGATGGCTTCGATACTGTGTCCTGTATCACATATTACTAGTTGTGCTGAAATGAAAATTCAGTGTTTTCTTTTTTTTTTTAAAGAGAGAGGGAGAGAGAGAGAGAATTTTAATATTTATTTTTTAGTTTTCGGCGGACATAACATCTTTGTTTGTATGTGGTGCTGAGGATGGAACCCGGGCCGCACGCATACCAGGCGAGCGTGCTACCGCTTGAGCCACATCCCCAGCCCAATTCAGTGTTTTCTGATGTGTTAGTCCTGTAGGTTAATATTGCTCTCTAGAGTATTTCTGAATACTTCTCTAGCATTGCTAGATTGTACCATGTCTTTACCCTTGATGTTTTAAGCATAGTGGGTTCTCTTTTTCTACTTTATTTTTATTGTTGAAAGTCTTTAGTAGGGTCGTTACACCTCCTTGACTTCATGTGGTATTATACAAGTAGTAAGAACTTACTGTCACAGCCACAGATGTACCCCATGTTTATTGAATTTAGTCTTAAGTCATGATTTCATACCTGTTTTGTACTTGGTTGATTTAGCACTGGAAATTGTTAGTTTCCTCCCCTTCCCTCTGTTGGATATATGCAGTTGAAGTTGGTGTAAATCCTGGATTCTGGTCAGTGTAAACCCAGTTTACTAATTTACTAACCCATTATAGATTAGTTGAGCAAAATGATTATGATAGAATGTTTGTTATTAAACAAAAGACATAGCCTCTAATAAGTTTTTCTGTTTTAGTTTTTTCCCCATCCCCAGGATGTTGTAATAGATATTTGTGTAAATATTTCTATGTGAAGAAAAATAGTAAATAAAGAGACAAATTGGGCAGGGAGCAGAGAATGGAAAGAAAAATTGTACACATTGCCTTCAATGTAAATTTAAAAGTATCAAGGTTTAGTGAGAGATGTAAAATGCCATTGTGAAGTAGAGATTGACAAACTTTTTCTGTAAAGGGAGGGATTATAAATATTTTAGGTTTTGCTGGGTACATACTTAATACCATACTCTTTGTTGTTATTACAACTTTTTAAACACGTAAGAGCCATTATTATCATGCTGAGGTACTGGAGGATAAAAGGCTTCGGGTCATCTTCCCACCCTTGAAACTGAGCTGGTAGTATTTTGGATCTGTACTGTTTTATTTATTTATTTATTTATTTATTTTTATGATGCTAGGTATTAAACTCAGGGTCTTACCATACTAGGCAGACATTCTACCAGTGAGATACACCCTCAGTCCTGTTTTATTTGAAATTAGCTGGCATCATTAAAATATTAAGGTATTGATTATTTTTTAATTGGATGTAACTTATTAAACAAATCCTTTCTTTCTTTCTGTTTTTTAATATGGAGGATTGAACCCCAGCCCTTTTTAAATTTTGAGACAGGGTCTTGTTATATTGCTTAGGGACTTGCTAAATTGCTGAGGCTGACCTCAAACTTGTAATTCTCCTTCTTCAGCCTCCAGAATCACTGGGATTAAAGTTGTGCACCACCACGCCTATCTAAAATTCTTCCCTTTAAAGCATGTGTTTATTTTATTTTTGGTACTGGGATTTGAACCCAGGGGCACGTTTATCACTGAGCTACATCTCTATTCCTTTCTATTTTTTATTTTGAGACAGGGTCTTGCTGAGTTACTTAAGGCCTCACTAAATTGCTGAGGCTGGCCTTGAACTTGAGATCCTCCTGCCTCAGTGTTCTGAGTCCCTGGGATTACATACCTGTGCTACTGTGCCTGGCAAAGCATATGTTTAAGAAAGTATTTTTAGCTGGCCATAATGGCATGTAGGCCCAGAACTCTGGGAGGCTGAGACAGGAGAATGACTGGAGCCCAGGAGTTCAAGGCCTGTGTGGGAGACCCCTTTTATTGTTTGTTAGTTTTTATTTTGGTACTAGGGATTGAACCCAGGGATGCTTTACCACCGAATTCCCCAGCCCTTTTTAATTTTTTATTTTGAGACAGGGTCTTTTTTTTTTTTTTTTAATTCTTTTTAGTTATACATGGACACAATATTTTTATTTTGTTTATTTATTTTTATGTGGTGCTAAGGATCGAACCCAGTGCCTCACATGTGCGAGGCAAGTGCTCTGTCACTGAGCCCCAGCCCCAGCCGGAGAACAGGTCTTGTTATTATTAACTTGTTTCGGCCCTTGCTAAATTGCACAGACTGGCTTTGAACATATAATCCTCCTACCTCAGCCTCCCGAGTCACTATGATTACAGACATAAACCACTATGGATGTCTTGTTTGAGTTTAAAAATGTATCCTCAAAAGATTATTTTTACTGGGCATGGTGGCACATACTTGTAATCCCAGTGGTCTTGAAGGCCTAGACAGGAAGAGGAAGGCTACAGCAGGAGGATTGAAAAAAATTTGGGGGGGTGGTTCCAGGGATTGAGCTCAGGGGCACTCAACCACTGAGCCACATCCCAGCCCTTTTTTGAAATTTTATTTAGACATATGGTCTCACTGAGTTGCTTAGCACCTCCCTGTTGCTGAGGCTGGCTTTGAACTTGCTTCCTGCCTCAGCTTCCTTGAGCTGCTGGGATTACAGGCGTGCACCACCACACCCAGCAAGGTTGAAAATTTAAGGCAAGCTTGGTGACACACTTATAATCCCAGCAACTAAGGAGAATTGCAAGTTTGAGGCCAGCCTCAGCAAGTTTTTGAGACCCTGTCTCAAAATAAAAAATGAAAAGGGCTGGGGATGTGGCTCATTGATTAAGCACTACTGGTTCAATCCCTTGTACCCCAAACCAAACTAAAAAAAAAAAAAAATGAATAGGGAAAATGAGTGGAGTTGAGGAAGGAGATTTACGGGGGTGGGAGGAAATGGAGAATGAAATTGACATATTGTACGTATGAGACCATATCACAGAGAA